TTCAAGTCTAGTTCAGCCACTGCAGTGACAAATGGTACTATCTTCTGGTGATGCAACAATAGTCTTACAAGAGGTAAAACAGAATCATATTTATCTCGACACACTTCACCCAGAACGTAGGCAGCAGAAGCAGAGATTGGCTGTAACAAAAATAAAGGTGAAACCAAGATGAAAATACCATTTGAACACAACCTGGAAAAAGTTAGCTCTTTCAACAAGACAACAGACACCAATAATTTCTTAAGAAACTTAGCAACAGGGCAATTACAAGTCTACAAAAAAAATCTTACTGAAAATAGATACTATCTGCTCAGATTGTGTTAAGTACTTTCAAACACAATAACTATTAACATTGTGCATTTATTCAATATTGTAGTATTTCTAAAAGGTTAGATTGTGAGTTTGCCACAAGCCTGGAATAAGTGGCAGCATGTGGTTGTGCCCCAGGGTCATATCAGGTACTTAAAAAAAAAATAGCACTCATCACTGTAGCATCTGAAAATTCCAATCATTAATAGATCCTATCCTTGAAACACCACTATAAGACAGAAAAGTGTGATTTGTCCAGGATCACAAAGGAAATCTGTGTCTGAGCAATCAATTGAATCCACACCCTCAAATCAAATCTAGACCATCTGTCCTAGCCAGTACTCAAGAGTCCAAATCTGGTCTCTGTTTCATTCCTTGCTCTACAGAGAAAATAACCAAAGCCTTATAGCTGTTACAGATTACAGGCAGTCCCCGACTTATGCGGATCCGACTTATGTCGGATCCGCACTTACAAACGGGGCTCTTGCGCCCCGGAGGTCGAGGTGGCGGATTGCTGCCTGCGAGCTCCGGGGCGAGAAAGCCCCGTTCGTAAGCTGCTCCCGGTGCCCCTGGTCTGCTGGAGACCGTCTCCAGCAGACCACAGGCACCGGGAGCGAAGCCGCAGCCACGGCGGGTTCCCGCGCTTCTGAGGCTTTGCTCTGGCAAAGCCTCAGAACCCCAGCTGCTCTGCCCCAGGCGTCCCCAAGTCAGCCACTGCTGAAACTGACCAGCGCTGACTACAGGCAACCCC